CCGTTCAAATAATGAAATATAAAAGGGATACCCCGCCCAATAAATAAAAATGACGGGGAAACCATACCAAAAAATGAAAAAAGACAAGGATACCCCCCAGATCAATGAAAAAATGACGGGGAAACCCGTCCAGAACAAAAAATAGAAGAAACCCCAAAAAACAATAAAAAATTAGAGGAAAACCCCATCCAGAACAATTAAATTTAGGGGGAACCCTTGCAAAACAATGAAACTAAAAGGGAAAACCGCCCAAACAATAAATATGACACTGAAACCTTTCCGAAACAATGAAATACAGAAGGAAACCCCCCAGAAAAATAAAATATAAAAGGGAAAACCCTACCAAATAATGAAATATAACAGGAAACCCTGCGCAAAAAAATGAAATCAGAAGGAAACCCTCCAGAACAAAAAATATGAAAGGAAACCCTTCCAAACAATGAAGTATAGAAAAAACCCCCGTCCAGTACAATGAAATAGAGGGCACCCCCGTCGAAAAAAAAATAAGAATAAAACCCCCGCCCAAACAAGAAATAGACGGGGAAACCTCCAGAACAATAAATATGACAGGGAAACCCCCCAAACAATAAAAATACAAAGGAAACCCTCTAAACAATGAAATATTAGAGGGGAAACCGCCAAAAAATGAAATAAGACAGGGAAACCCGCCCAAAACGATGAAAAAGACATTAAAACCCGTCCAAAAAAATTTAAATATGACAGGAAAACCCGCCAGAAAAATGAAAATATGGAAGGAAACCCGCCTAAACAATAAAGTATGAAAGGGAAACCCTCCAGAACTATAAATAAGAAGGAAACGTCTAAAACAATGAAATAGACAGGAAAAACCAGTTCAAACAATGAATAGACACAGAAACTCGTCCAACACTGAAATAGGACAGTGAAACCCGTCCAGGAAAATAAAATACGAAAGAAAACCCCGCCAAAACAAAAATAACAAAAAAACCCATCCAAACAATGAAAATAACAGGGAAACTGTCCAGAACAATAAAATAACAGGAAACCCCGCCGGGACAATTAATATAAAAAGGGAAAAACCCGTACAACTGAAAAAACTGACAGGAAAACAATTTTCAGAACAATGAAATAAGACAGGTAAACCCTCCAACAATAAAAATATGACAAGAAACCCGTCCAGAACAATAAATATGAATGGAAACCATCTAGAACAAGAAATATGCACAAAAACCCTCACAACAATAAACATAAAAAGGGAAAACCCGTCCAGAACAATGAAAATGACACTGAAACCCGCCGAACAATGAAATAGACAGGGAAACCACCAAAACAAAAATAGACAGGAAACCCTTGAAGGTCAATGAAATATGGAAAGGAAACCGGGGTACAGAACAATGAAATATGAAAAGGGAACCCCGTTCAGAACAAAGAAATATGACAGGAAACCGTCTAAAACAAGACATATGACGGGGAAACCCGCCAGAAAATGAAAAAAGAGGGGGAAAACCCGCCAGAACAATGATGTAGAAAGGGAAACCCTCAAGAAAAATTAAGTATAAAAGGAAACCCCCCCAGAACAATGAAAATGACCTAAACCCGTCCAGAACAATAAAATAGACAGGGAAACCATTCCAGAAAAAATGAAATATGAGGGAAACCCTTGAAGGCAATGAAATAGGAAAAGGGAAACCGGTACAGAACAATGAAATATGAGAAGGGAACCCCTTTCAAACAAAGAAATATACGGGGAAACCTGTCTAGAACAATGACAATGACAGGGAAACCCGTCCAAAAAAGAAATATGACAGGGGAACCCCTCCAAACAATGAAATAGAGGGGAAACCCGCCTACAACATTTAATTATGAAGGAAACCCAAATCCAAACAATTACATATTAGAGAGAAACCATCCAAATAAGAAACATGACAGGAAAACCCGTCTAGAAAAATGAAAATGCAGGAAACCCATCAGAGCGAGAAATAAAAAAGGGGAAACCCTCCAAACAATGAAATGTGACATTGAAACCCGTCAAAACAATGAAATAAAAAAAAAAAACCGTCCAAAAAATTTAAATAAAAAAGGAATCCGTGCAAAACAATGAAATAGAGAAGGGAAACCCATTAGGAACAATGTAAACGAGAGGTAAACCCGTCAGGACAATTAAATATGACACAGAAACCCTCCAGAAATGAAATATGACAGGAAAACCAGTCCAAACAATAAATAAGAAAAAGGAAACCCCTCAAGAACAATGAAATCAAGAGAGGGAAACCGCCGGACAATGAAGTATTAGAGAAAACCCATCCACAACAATGAAAATGAAAACAGGGAAACCCTCCAGAACAATGAAAATGACAAGGAAACCCACCAGATAAATGAAATAGACAAGGACACCTGTCCCGAACAATGAAATAATGTCCATTGAAACCTGTCCAGACCAATGAAAATATGAAGAAGGAAACACCGACAAGGACACTGAAAAATGACAGGGAAACCGTCCAGAACAATGAAATATTAGAGGAAAACCCGTCCAGAACGAAATAAGAAAGGGAAACCTGTCCAGAACGATGAAATATGACAGGGAAACCCGTCCAGAACAAAGAAATATGAAAGGGAAACCCGTCCAGAACAATGAAATATGAGAAGGAAACCCTCACAGAACTATAACATGTGACAGGAAAACCAGTTCAGAACAATAAAATAAGTCGATAAAACCCGACCAGAACAATGAAATATGAGAAGGAAACTCTTCCAGAACAATAAAATATGACAGGGAAACCCGTTTAGAACAATGAAATATGAGAAGGGAACCCGCCAAGAACAATGAAATATGAAAAGGAAACTCGACCAGAACAATGAAATATTAGAGGGAAACCCGACCAGAACAATTAAATATGACAAGGAAACCCGTTCAGAATAATGAAATATAACAAGGATACCCGACCAGATAAATGAAAAATGACAGGGAAACCATACCAGAACAATGAAATATGACAAGGATACCCGTCCAGATCAATGAAATATGACAGGGAAACCCGTCCAGAACAATGAAATATGAGAAGGAAACCCGTCAAGAACAATGAAATATTAGAGTGCAAACCCATCCAGAACAATTAAATATTAGAGGGAGACCCTTGCAGAACAATGAAACATGAGAAGGAAACCTGTCCCGAACAATGAAATATGACACTGAAACCTGTCCGAAACAATGAAATACGAGAAGGAAACCCCTCCAGAAAAATAAAATATGAGAAGGAAACCCTACCAGAATAATGAAATATAACAGGGAAACCTGCGCAGAACAATGAAATACGAGAAGGTAACCCGTCCAGAACAATGAAATATGAGAAGGAAACCCGTCCAGAACAATGAAGTATGAGAAGAAACCCCGTCCAGTACAATGAAATATGAGAGGCACCCCCGTCGAGAACAATGAAATATGAGAATGAAACCCGCCCAGAACAATGAAATATGACAGGGAAACCAGTCCAGAACAATGAAATATGACAGGGAAACCCGTCCAGAACAATGAAATACGAGAAGGAAACCCGTCTAGAACAATGAAATATTAGAGGGAAACCTGTCCAGAACAATGAAATAAGACAGGGAAACCCGTCCAGAAAAACCGATGAAAAATAGACCTTAAAACCCGTCCAAAAACAATTAAATATGACAGGGAAACCCGTCCAGAACAATGAAATATGAGAAGGAAACCCGCCTAGAACAATGAAGTATGAGAAGGAAACCCGTCCAGAACTATGAAATATGAGAAGGAAATTCGTCTAAAACAATGAAATATGACAGGAAAACCAGTTCAGAACAATGAGATATGACACAGAAACTCGTCCAGAGCACTGAAATAGGACAGTGAAACCCGTCCAGGAAAATGAAATATGACACAAAAACCCCGTCCGGAACAGTGAAATATGACGGGAAAAAACCAGTCCGAAAAATGAAAATAAAAGGGGAAAAAACCCCCCAAAAAACAATGAAAAATAAAAAGGGGGGAAAACCCCTCCGGAAAATGAAATTTT